GGTATCTCCATCTACCCGTACATCAACGATTGGCTCTTGGTAGTGTCCTCCAAGGACACCCTGGTCTCAAACATCAATAAGACGCTGGTACTCCTGGAAAGCCTGGGCCTACAATTCAATCTGGAAAAGTCTTAACTTCAACCAGTCTAGAAAATACAATACATCGGTGCTCTACTAGATTGCAACAATTGCATGGCTTACCTGCCACAAAACAGAGCGGCAGACATCATTCACCTAGCCACTGTCTTCCGTACCCAGCCTTCAGTCACGGCTTTCCAAATACAGAGGCTACTCGGCCTTATGGCCGCTACCATGTCAGTCCTAGTCTTTGCCAGATTAAACATGCGTCACCTACAACTATGGTTTATCCACAACTTCGATCCAACGGAAAACGCACATACCACCCTCCTAACTCCTCCTTCCAATATATAAGACTCTTTACTTTGGTGGACTGTCCCTTCCAATCTCTTCCAGGGAGCACCCTTCCATACTCCGTCACCCCAAATTACCCTAACCACAGACGCCTCTCTGTCGGGCTGGGGTGCACACATGATGGGTCTTTGTTTTGGAGGCAAGTGGAACACTCATGAACATCGACAGCACATAAACTTCCTGGAACTGCTTGCAATACAGTTCGCTGTCACCAGTTTCCTACCTCTGATCAAGGGAAAATGTGTTACGGTCCTCACGGACAATACTACTGCCCTCAGTTATGTCAACAAACAAGGGGGCACTGTCTCCTTACGCCTTTGCAACCTTGCCATCCCATTATGGAACCTTTGCATCGCCCACAACATCTTCCCGGTAGCCCCACAATCCCGGGACACATGAATGTGCAGGCAGACCATCTGAGTCGAGAAGGACTCAGTCTCCACGAGTGGGAAATGAACCCAACCTACCTTCTCCCACTCTTCCGTTGGTGGGGAGTTCCCCAAGTAGATGTTTTTGCCACCAGGGCAAACAAGAAGTGTCCTCTGTTCTGCAGCCAAGGTGGCAGGGACCCACAGTCTCTAGGAGATGGTCTCCTCTATCCGTGGTCCAGAGAACTTCTCTACCTCTTCCCTCCACTACCCCTGCTTCTGAGAGTGGTTCGCAAAATCATCATCGAAAGAGCGGACTGCATCCTGATAACCCTGTGGTGGCCGAGACAACCATGGTTCTCGACCCCCTCTTCTGTACCACGACGTGCCACGGATGAAGTTGACAGCCTGGAGAATAGCGTGAACAGCTTTTCCACCCGTGTAGCAAATGTTTTGCTAAATGCCAGAAAGCCTAATACGCGAAAGTCGTACCATTACAAATGGCAAAAATTCTGTTCCTCCTTGGGTGATGATGCCCCTTGAACCACCTCTGCAGGTCTCGAGAAAGTCTTCCAATTCCTCCTGTCCCTCGCTGACTCGGGACTTTCTCACTCCTCGTTAAGAGTTTATTTGGCTGCACTTTCGGCCTACCATGATCAAGTTGAGGGATGCACACTGTTTTTGCATCCTCTCTCAAAATGTTTTTTGAAGGGACTGTTGCACCTCTACCCTCCCATCAAAACTCCTGTCGTTCCCTTGGACCTTCCACTAGTTCTTCGTCAGCTCATGAGGAAACCATTTGAGCAGCTCGCAACTTGCGACCTAAAATTCCTGTCGTGGAAGACGGCCTTTCTGGTTGCTGTCACCTCTGCGAGGCGAGGTGGAGAAATACTGGCTTTCAGACATGACACGCCTTACTTGTCCTTTTTGCCAGACGGTGTCCGCCTCATACCTGACATCTCGTTCCTGCCAAAGGTAGTATCAGAATTCCACCTACAGGCAAAGGTCTTCCTCCCAGATTTCTTCCCGGCTCCGACATCCTCAGAGGACAGTTACACACGTTGGATGTGAAACGTGCGCTCCTGTTCTACCTGAACAGAACCCGCCCAACGAGATGTGACTCCCAACTGTTCGTCTCCTATGCACCAGCAAGTCTGGGGACTCGCATCACGGCTCAGCGCCTCTCAAAGTTGATTGCGGGTCTCATCCGCCTCTGCTACCTGATTGCCAAACAGCCATTGCCTGGCCCTATCAGGGCCCATTCAACCCAAGCTGTTGCGGCCTCCACTGCCTTCCTCCAGGGAGTTCCCCTAACGGACATCTGCAGAGCCGCTACGTGGGCTACACCTAACACCTTTATAAGGCATTATGCCCTAGACTGGTGGTACGCAAACTGCGGTTCTAGAGCTACATGTGGCTCTTTGGCCCCTTGAGTGTGGCTCTTCCGCCCTATGCGCTGATGGCCTATTCCCTCCACTGTTCTCTATGGTGGGGAAAAAGTAACTTTTTCCCCCACCATAGAGAACAATGGAGGGGATGGGGCAACCTGTTTGGGGGCCCGTAGAATTGAACCCCCTGGTTCAATGTTCCTGAAACATGGAGGGTATCTTGGGGAGAGGCTCCAGCAGCTACCCTGCGATTCTGGAGCCTCTCCCTCAAACCGCCTCCTCTCCAGCCCCCAGAATATACCCTATGTTTTTGCCATTGACTTCAATGGCCCATAGGATATAATGGGGCTGAACTGCGGGAAGCCCCAGTAGCCCTCAGGCCAGAGCACCTGGAGCAGTCTTGGGAGGCGGATTGGCAAAAAGCAAAACCAAAAGCGCAGGAACTCGAGAGAACTCCAGGAATGGAGCCAGTTCCTCTTCCACAGCCCAAAATGCGACCCACGAACCCTGAGCTTGCTTTTGCTCATTTGCGACTCTGGCCTCCGCACTCCTTTAACGAGGCAGCCCTGAAGCTTGGGGCAGCGGGAGTTTCTTTGCACGCAGCTTGTGCGGCTGGCTGAGTGCCTCTTCTGTTTGCCCACCTCTCGCCTCTGCACCTCATCTTCTGCCAGGCATGGAGGAGCCCAGCTCGCCCAGCTTCTTGCCTCCTGCTGCCTTGGCCCTCTGGTGCACGGGTGAGTCCCCAAAGTTTGACTCTTCCTCTACAAGTCTCTGGCGCTGGAGGTATTCACCTCCTTCCCTCCT